TGTCTGATCGATACCTACAAGTGTCTTTGGAAAGATGATGCAATAGCATTGGTAAGAAAATCAGGATAACAAAGTTTTAACCTTGAATGTAACATTGGATATGACATTTTTCCTCCCTAAACCTCACTCTTGTCATCTATAATAAATGAGTCTTTAATGTTTTCCCATGGTTTGGTGACAGTAATGGAACCAAAAAGCCAGCAGAGATCAGCTTTCACTTCAACCAATAGCTAATCAATATAGTCAATGTACCATGAGGCAAAATTCATTGAAAAAGAAAACTGATATATTTAATCCTGTAATTAAAATCCTTCTTTCCTAGACTTTTGAAATGCCTTCTTACTCTCAGAAAAAAAAAAAAAAAAGCAATAGACCACCCTTGGGTGTGCACAAAGATGGATCAAAAAACTGGAATACATGTCACATGCAAAAAAAAGAAAGAAAGAAAGAAAGAACTGGGGAAGCCTAGGAGGGAGAAGAGAGTACATAGGTTCAGTGAAAGAACAAAAAGCGTAGGAACTTTTTGCAAGTATTTGGAGCACTTTCTTTGAAGGAATAATTAGATTTGTTCTATATAGTCCCAAAGTATCTCAGGAAGCAATGAGTCCTCTATCGTTAGAAGAATTTAAACAGAGTCTGGATGACTCATGGATAAAGATATGGTCAAGCAAGTTCAAGTACTGAATAATGGGTTAGCCAAAAAATGCTGTGATATTCTCTCCTAGATCCTAACCACACATGGTAGCTCTCAGGCCAGGATCTGAAAGGTGAACCCCTGGGAAATGGTCAGGACTGTTGAAGTAATGAAATACACCAGATACCAAAAATGCAAAAAGAAAAAAAAAAAAAGATTTCAAATACTTCCTTGGAAATAGTGCCCCAATGAAGTCTCAGAATTAAACCCCAGTTCCAGCACTTAAATTAATTTCTCTTCTGACAATAACAGAGTAGTAATACCCATTTGTATTATGCATAGAAAAGCTAGGTTAAGATGACCTAGAACTGATTTGCTCTTAATTTGCCCAGCAAGTTACATTTTCCCGTGAACTCACCTTTTCCCCTTAAGATTATAGTGGGAGAGCACTAGATTGGAAAACAGATAATCTGGTTTCAATTCCATCATTCACCAGCTGGCAACATCTTGGGCAAGTTACTTAATCTCTATGATTGTCAGCCTCTTCATGTATAAAACAGGAATATTAACATTTTCAAGCTCACATAGATTATGTTGTCAAAGTATACACTGTGTCATTATACTTATTCATAGAACTTATTTCATCTAGAATAAAATCACTTAGATTTGCAAACCATAATTTAAAAACTAATAAGGAGGGAAAAAAAAGACAAGGAGTTGTTTGCACCTTTCTTCTTTCCTGGCACTCCGTACAAACCTCTATTATAGCATTTGGTAATTTTAAATGACTCTTACCTGCTAGACTGAATTCCCTGAAAACAGGGACTTTGTCATACAAACTTTGTTTCTCAATCTCCCACAAGATCTTGACACTGAGGCATATTACAGATAATGAAAACTTGAACTCCTGGAATTAAGCCACTCACCTTCACATAGTGAAGAACTAGATGTGGTCACTGAGGTGTTTGACCTCTAGTCCTGTGGATGTGGACCATGACTTCTCTGAAGACCACCTTCTCAGGCACTATTCCATCTCTTTAGAGGGAGAGTCCATTTGCTTGCTGGGACAGCCCTTATTTTCTCCAAGACAGAATCATTCTTTTTTTTGGGGGGGGGGGAGGAATCTAATTTAGTAAAGACTGTCCTTTTTGGGTTTCTTTTTCTCTTAATCACTATCTTTACTGTTCTTCCTAATGTCTTTCTATAACTACAGGAAGCTATTTTGAATCAATTGTCTTATTCTCCCTCAGAATACTATTTGTTTAGTAAAAGGTGAAGTATTCAATGGACTAATGAAACACATCAAATACCTAGAAGGGCGGATTCCTTGAGGGATGGTGTAGTCGAATAATCAAAATAACTCTGAGGTAGAAGAGGTGGGTCCAGACTCTGCATTGACTTACTAGGTATCTTGGGCAGATAACTTAACCTCTCCCTATGTCAGCCTCCAGTAAAATGAATGGTGAAGATGAAATAATCTTTGAGGCCTCTTCCCTGTCTGATATTCAGAATTGAAGGTCTATTTTGTGTTAGCCATATCTTTATACTGAGAACAGTTTGCAGCAGGACCAAAAAATTGGTCCTGCATTAAAATCAAGAAAAGATTTGCATGATCTTAAAATAACAAATGTGAGAAAAGTGTTAGTGAATCTGATTCTATATGACTGTGAACCCCATGGTTGATGGACAGTTAAGTGAGCTCTATTAAGGAAATGTATATGATGGCTAAAGAATACTGGATTGATTGAAGCTTCTAAATGAGTGAGTATGCTAATCACTTATTTCAATTGTTATTAAAATCATAACTATATGCTGTTCTTTCTGGTGTCACACCAGCATCACATAGAATAGCCACTAATGTCATTCTTGTGTGCCAACTAAAGCATTAATAAGAAATTTTGATGCCTAGTAAATAAAAATTTGTTAACTTGTCACTGCAAACTCATGAACCATTCATTCATTCTTCAATGAACACTGAGAACTTACTGTATGCAAGACACTGTATGTGATACTGAATGGACCATACATATAATCAGACATATTCTAATGTTTATTCATTGGAAGTTCACACAAATACTCTATCACATACACTCACACAACTATAATAAATGGTAGGAAACATTAAGTAAGCACCATGGAAGTGATGCAGATCAGGTACCTACAGAAGGGAGATATCCCAAGTGAGAGTATAAAGCAAGAATTTTATGGAGCAAGAAGTACACAAAATAAGTCTTGAAGTCTGAGTTAGATTTTGACATGTGGGAACAACAAGAAATTACAAAGGCAAACAGAAGCTGGAATGCACAGCACATGTGAGAACAAAATAAACACCGGCTAAAACATCTAACACCAAGTATTCACCATGTACTAAGAATGTTAAATACATGGTCTCAGTGAATCCTTATAACTCTAAGGGATTGTTTCTATTAGCATGCTTATTTTTAGATAGGGAAACTAAGGCCTGAAAAAGAACAGTACTTTGCCCATTAAATGAAATAGCAGGTTGTTCAGAATTGTGAAGTCCGTAGTTGAGGCAGAGAAGAAAGAAAATATAACCTGAAAGATTTTTTATGGCTAGATGATAAACAGACTAGAGTACTAGACTCAGTGAATCAAACTTAGGGGGAAGACAAATGAACTAAATGGGAAGTAAAAAGTATGACCTTCTATATATTACAAAAAAAACCCCTATGCTCCATATATTAATTAAAATGATCAAAAATCAGCACTCCTCTAGCATGTTGAAGCATAGAATGACAGTCACATCTGGAGGAAAGATGGGTCCCCTTGCTAATACAACACTCTATTCATGAAGGTGGGAAAACTGAGACTGAAAGATAACTACACCTAATCAAATATTCCATTTAATTTAAGCTTTAAATAAAGAATAAATATATATGTGGGCACTTGCCTTATAATTCCTGCCAGTTACTTCCATACTACTATTGGGAACTGATACTAAAGATGATACTAAAACTTAAAACCTCCTGGCCCTCACACAGTCTATGCATTGCTCAGAAAACAATTAAGCTGTATTCTTGCCTGTGCTTTAATTATAATAATGTGATTCTATTACTCCACTGATTTGGTTGGTAACCAGCTGTACATAAAGCATCTAACACAAACAGGTCCTCTAAGTGGACACTCATTAATTCCCTCCTGAATGTATTGTAAATAAAAGATGAACTAAAACCTCAAAACATGTTCTGTTTTCATAGAGATTAGTAAAGTGGCTTGCATTTCCCCCTTTGATTAGCTGTTCAGGAATTAACTTCCATTAACCCATGTTCATTTTAAAAATGTGTATTATCTAACACAAATATTTTCTATAAAATATGAATTTCCTCTTAGATGTTTATATGTTGCCATCAGTAAGCACATACTATGGAGTTGTATTGAATTTATGTATTTATACGTGGTTTATTTTTCTAACAGCTATTCAGAAATACAGGTGAAAGTTAAAACACATATCCCCAAAGGGGCATCTTAAATTAGCTATCTTTTTTTATCTCTGTCTTGAGCAATATCCTTTTGTATGTTATTATACTGCTAATAATAGATAGCATTCACCAAATATTTTTATTATTGTTTGCATTTTGATAAAATCAAAAGAAGGCTTAAACTCTCTTCTTTAGTTATTCTGGGATCATCGTATTGTGTTCTGGTACCTTCAACAGTGTAGCATTTATAGAGGTGACCCAACGCACATTTTTCTCGCAACCCATAGTATTCTTATTCTGTAATTTTATAATAAAAGTGATATTTACCCCTGAAAAATAATTTTAGAAGCGTACTTTTAAACAGAGGCAGTCATTTAACATTGTTCAGATATAGAGAGAATTGTCAAAGAAGATATAAAAGCAATGGTGTTTCTCTTGATAAATGTTCATGAACTGGAAACATTTTAAAGGCTAAGAGCTTTATCTGAGCTATTTAAGCTGTCTTCTTTCTTCCAACTTATAAATGAAGTTTTCTTTCTATTTTTTTAATATATTATGTATTTTACATATCAGCCAGGTAAATAGCTGGACATTTCAGCCTGCCTACCCATAAATACTAATACTCATTTCCACATATAATTTAAATATATTTAACTTGTAATTGATGTTTGCAACAATCCCTTCCCATAATTTTCACTAAATTAAAGTTATCATTCATGGAGTTTTTTTTTTAATGTATTATATTTTTATATGAGCCAAACTATAAGATTTACCATTTAAAACATAGCTTTATTACCACAGGGAATTTTAAATGTGTCTGTGAAATTTGGAGTATGTATCTCAAATAACTCAACTGAAATCACAACTGAAGTTAATCATGTATTATTGAACAGAAAGATTTACTCAATAAGGAATCAAATTCTTGCTTTTCATAATTTCACCACAATTTTATTTTGTATTTACAGTCTTCCATTTCTAATGCAAGGGTATTTATGAGCACTGGGGGGTTTAGGGAAGAGAGATGGGATTTGGAGGAAAGGAATCAGAGGTCATACATGGACAACAATATTAATAAAGCTAACAGGATGTGAAAGTCTTCCAGAAGAAATTCTTGCAGCCAGCTTTGCGTTCTCGGGGTGCCATGGCTGGGTTTGAGTTAGCAGATCTCTGCAGCTCCAGCCTCATTTCATCCTGCTCAGCAGCCTGGGACAAATCTTCAGGTTCCAGGGCATCATTCTCTGTCTGGTTGGGTTCAGACAGCAGCTCTGCCAAGAAATACTTGGCCAGTTCCTGTACCGGGTGGAAGGGAGAGAGACATAGAGGGACAGAATGAGGAGGATAATCATGGAGAAGAAGAAATAGAAAAGCCTAGTTTGGAAAGCAGATTCAGCCACACCCAAAACAATTTTCACAGCTGCGTGCTTTTGTCACCTAAAACGAATTAAGGATATAAAAATAAGGGTATTTGCTATAATCACCAAATTACACAAAGAAGCTTGAAAAACCCAAATGTTTCTGTAAGTTTTCTGTCTCTGTGGGTTTAAAACACACATATAAAGAGAAGTAACGGATCGTTAAAGCAGTTTTGCAAAGTTAAAAAAAAGAAAGAAAGAAAGAAAATGTGCTGAGTTTACCTCAGTTTCTAAATCATGAGCTAAAAATTGGAGTTGTTCTTACCGTTTTTATTAAGTCAATTGTGGGAAACGAGACCTTTCACAATTTTATACATATTGTGTTCCATAGAGTGCCCGTTAGCCCTCCATCCCGCTGCATGGGAGGGAAATATTGCTTAGGAAGATACCAACTTCAGGGGTACTCACTTTCAGCACCTGGGTCAGCACCGCTCTCCCATGGTCAGCACCCGGGGATAGATGTCATCGCCCCCTCCAGTTCAATTATTCAGGTTTAGGGATTTTCTCGAATGCCAAAGAACTCACCTGAACTGTGACGCACTGCTCTGATTAAAAGGAAATTCTGGACTTTGAAAGTTTTCCCGAGAGCTTTGGGATCCGAGTGACCGAAACTCTTCAGGAGCACCTCTTAAATGCACCCAAGGGGACAGAGGCAAGGCTAGGAGAAAATTAGGAATTCGAGAGAGGAGAAAGGAAACGAGGAAGGAGTCTCTTTACCTGCTTCCCTGCGGCAGCAGCCAGGGACTTCTGCAGAAACTGACGGAGTCGGGGATCCGAGGGCGCACCAGTGACACCGCCCAAAGCCAGGACGATGGAGAGCGCGGCCAGCGCGCATTGGAGGCGGCAGGACAGCATCTCCGCGGCGCCCCGGGGAGCCGAGCAAGAGCGCGGTTAGTCAAACTCTAGGAGCGGATCCGCAGGCAGCAGCGACGGCTCTGAACCGCGCGACTCCTAAAGCGGCTTCTGTGCTCTCCACCGTCGTCTTTCCCCTTTTTAAACTCTCTCTCTGACGTCAGACTAGGAGGCGCCCCCAGATCTCACTAGCGCTTTTACGCACCATTACCCTCGTGAAATCAATCACAGAAGTGAGAGGAGGCTACACAATCCAAAGAGGTTTATTAAAAAAAAAAAAAATCCGCACATGCACAGGCCTACACAATTCCACACATGTCACATTATTTACACAATCTTTGATATTCACTAAGTGCTATGCACATACACATTCCATAATTTCACACACATGCACATATGCACTCGATTACACAGAGAAGCTCACTCAGCCCAAAGAGACGAATTCACTACCACACACAGCTGCATACACATAAATGTATCCAGACAACTCTATCATTAGACTCCAACATGTTAGGAGCGCCAAACAAATGCAAAAGTATATGTGTGTGACAAGTGAAGATTCAGAATCATTACTCTAAGAACAGATTTGAGAATGGAACGTGGATGTCAGGACTGAATCATTTCTCTCTCCTTTATCTCTGTAAAAAGTCTTGCAGGTTGAGATGTAATGGTCTCTAAAAAAAACTTTACTTTCCCAAAATTCCCTACAATAGAAGAGAAAGTACCTTAGGTTTGCCCTCCATCCTTCTTTCTAAGCATCTGAGAAAATTCTTCTAGTTTATCTGTCTTCTTAAGCATAAGAAAAAAAAAAGTGAGATTGACTTCATTTTTGTGCCTAGAAACTTGGAGCTGAAAAGCAATCTCAGAAACCAGACAATAAACCTCCGTGTTTGAGTCACTTAGCCTAGAAATGGGCCGTAAAATGATCTGGATCACACACTGCCCAACTGAAACAAGGACCAGAGCTCCACATTCCAAGGCCAGGGTTCTTTTTACTTAATTCTGGGTTTTCTAATAGATTCCTGGCCAGTAGAAGCAGTTTTCAGTCAGGGGCCCCCAGTATGGACATGTAAAAGTCTAGGAGCTCCCTGTACATCTGTGACCATCACTGTGTGTCTGAGTGTGGGGAAAGAATCAACAGACTTTTAGAGCCAGCACTCCCCTGCTCCCCACACACATAAAAAGGAAGTTTAAGAAATGTTGTTTTAGAATTCTGGTTTTGGTCTAGTTAGGTGTTTACTGTCAAGATCAGAGTTCTGAAAGTTTTCTTTTCTTTTTCTTTTTTCTTCAAAATAACTCCTTAACAAAGAAGAGCCAGCTAATATCCTGGCATAGACCAGATGATCTCTACAGGCTCTTCAAGCTCATAAAAAGCTAAAAACGTATGTGTGTTTGCAAAGCAATTGGCCAATCCTGTCATCAGTCATGTACCGTGTCTGTAATCTCAATACTTAGACCAAAACCATAATGTTGAGAAACAAGAGGAATTGGGGGGTCTCCTGAATGGCTTAGCTAGTTGTCATCATCTCCTTTTGTGTCCGTAAGCCAAGGCAAGGAGAGAATGCACAGGAAGGAGTGCTAGAGCTTCCTGGGCTTGGCAAGTCCAAGCAAGGCTAAGCACAAGTGGGGCATTAAAAAGTCACTCATGTAGGTTGGATAGTCTGGAAGAGCAATGAATCTGGGGTTGAGGAACGCAAGTCTAGAAAATACATGCTATTTTCTCTCTATATACTTTTTCTTTTGTATATACTTTTTAAATATTTTCTCATGCTATATACTCTGGAACCTCCTTGACTCTTGACTAGAGACTCAGAATCTAGTTATATCAGCCCAACTCTCCCAAGGCACCCCCAAATGATCTCACATCTCTTCCACCCAGGACATGGCCCTAGGCAGTCTCACTAAGTAGAGGAGAGTTTTCCTAAAGCAGCAGCCAGCCAAAGAGCAAGTAGCAGCTCCGCCATCTTTCTCCGTGCTCTGAGATCTCTTCAGCCTTCTCCCTGAGCTTCTGCTTCTCCCCTTCCACATCCTTCTCCTCCTCCTCCATACACTCTCTTCTCTCCTCTTTCTTCTTTTCCCTCAGCCTTATTCAATCGTTCTTTTGTCTTCTCTCTCCATTTCTTGTCCTCATTCTTCTTTGTTGTTCTTCTGTCTCCCCAATTACTTTCTGACTTCAATTTGGTTTCATCTGGCTCCTTTCCTGCCTTCTCTGCATTTCTCCTTCCCTTCCCACTCTTCTTAGTCAATATCTATCTCAGTCTCTGCCCCTAGTCTCTCCCTCTCATCTCTCTCCTTCTCAGCAACTTCACACACACACACACACACACACATACACACAAATATTCACAATCTTTAGCTATTTAAGTACTTATTTAGGAATAGTGAAGTCTGAGTTGCTTTCCTCTCACCTCTGCTGAAGACTGAGGCTGTGAATGAGATAACTTCTGGGTTTTGTTTTCGTTTTGTTTTATAACCTTTGCATTATTAGGAGTCTAAGAACCACTTAAGACAGAAGAGCCAAGAAAAAGGCGAAATAAATTCTTCCTTAAATTTTCCGTGGCCAAATTTTGCAAAAACGTTGATTCAGCACAAAGGCACTTCAAATTTCCCAAATGTGATCCCTCTGCAGGGCCTCTCTCCTAAGTCTTAACGAAACTAGGGACCCTATTCCCAGACCTTAGTCGGGAGGAACCACCTCCCCACATTCTTACACAGCCCCTGTGGTTCGCAGAGAGCTTTGTTGTCTGCTCATCAGCTCATGCTAGCGCCATCTCACAGAGGAGAAAATTGAAGTCTTGAGAGCAGATGTGCCTTGCACAAGGGTACACAGGCAGGAAGTGGCAAGATCAGAGGGAGGATGTTCCTCCACTTTAGAACCTTTCACCCTCCCCTGACTCAGATGCCAGAGACACCTGGCTGAGCAGCCTGGAGCCAGGATACACGTGTCTCCAGAAGGCATCCAATCCTCTTTCATGTGCAGCATTTCTGGCCAGAATAGGATTTCCCACCAACCTGTGAAATGTACATTCGGGGGTGACTACCTGCCTATATGAGGAGTAGGAACTCGTTTGAATGAAAAACAGTAAAATCTGTGAGCAGACATAGATGTTCCATATTAAAGGATGCTGAGAAGTAGAAAGTATCTGTATTGGGAGTAGAAAGACCCAGGTTCTAGTTCTGGTTCTGCCACAATCCAGCTCTGAAAGTGGGATTTCCCTTCTGGGCCTTGATTTTCTCATCTAAAAAATCAAAGTCTCGATATGTAACATTTATGGTTTCTTCTAGCCCTGATAATCAAAGAGTTTAAGTATGAGGAAATAAAAGGGAAAACTAGAATGTATTGCAATGTTAAAATGCTGTTTTTCTCAAAGCGAGGACTTTATATTTGAAAAGAACCTGGCTTTAATGTAATGTGAAGGAGGAGACCGATGCAGTGGACATTTCACAGGCCTGTTAGAAAGAAAATTTGCTCTCAGTATTGCTTCTGCTGCTGACTCCCTCACTCTGAACCTCAGTTTCTCCATCTGTCATATTGGTTCACTAAAATTCTTTCTGCAAATAGTGAGAATCTGCACTACTTGAGAAGTCAATGATATAACAGTGAACTAGACATAAAAAGTCCCAGTGAGAAAGATAATAAATACATCAATTAATTAATATATGTTCAAATTGATAAAGATTAAAGCAAGGTATAAAGCATGATGGTTAGGGGAAGACCTTTCTAAAGACAAAAAATTTGAGGAGAGACCTGAATGAGGTTAGGGAGCTCTCCACGCAAATATCTGAATAGAGATCTTTCCTTGTCAAGTAGAAGGATAATCTGTGCAAAGACCCTGAGGTGGAGGTATGCTTGGTACATTCATGCATCAGCAACATGGCAAGGGAAGCAGAACAGATTGGGTGAATCTGAGAGGGTTATAAGATGAGGCCAGAGAGACAGCAAGGGGCCTAATCACATAGAGCCTTGAAAGGCATGATAAAGAAACCATTGCAGGATTTTAATCAAGGGATTGAACTGATTTGATTTTTTAAAAGTAATACTTTCTTCTAAGCAGAGAATTAGCTGTAGGAGGGCAGGAGTAGAAAAAGGGAAATAACTTAGGAGTTTAAGAACCATTTAAGAAAAAAATGGAGCCAGGATGAAAGGGTCACATTCTCCCTTAAATAGCCATAGACCAGCTGGTTGACTTAGCATAAAGGCATCTCATGCCTGCCCAACCCAAGGCTTCTCATGCCTGTCCAAACCCCAGGGCCTGTCTATCTCCAAGGAAGGAGAGGTGGTTTGTGGTTACTATTGGGTACCTTATTCCCCAGACTAGTTTAGGCAAGAGAAGATGATATTTTGGGCTGGAGTGGTAGTCATGAAGAAGGTGGGGACTTGTTAGGTTTGAAGTTTATTTCGAAATAGAGTTGACAGGACATTCTGATGGTTTGTTTGATTGAGTTAAGGAAATGAGAACTATTGGTAACATTCACTAAAATGCCTTCAAGATCCACAAATTCGTGAGAGTGCAAGAAGTAGATTTCTGAAAAACCCCTTTTCCTGGACATTTTACAAATGGAAAACCTTTTCATTTCCCAGTCAGAAGAAAGTAAAGATTACAGGCAGTAGGGAGAAGAAACGTGAAATAGTGGAAAGAGCTCTGAACTGGATGTCTGAGGCCCTAGACTTCAGTGTTCAGTTTTTTTCCTGCTTAAAATGGGCTCGATAATTCTTGCTTTTGCTAAAATATGACTTAAGAATTATATCAAACAGTTTAAGTGGAAGTGCTTGGTAACCTATAAAAGATGATAAAAAGAGAAAGGCCTGTTTTTGTTGTTGCTGCTCAGACAGAGGCAGCCAGCCCTAAGCCAAGGGTGATATTCAGTGAGCCAGCCTTTGGGAGCTGGCATGTCCTGCTGATATTTTGACCCGACTGGGCAGGCAGGCCTTCTTCACACTTGGGACATGTAAAGTGTGGTTTAAAGGTCCAGCAAGGTCTCTTCTACCAGCAAATGGGTGCTGAAATTCATCTATTAGAAAATAATCTTTTCTCTTTTATATACTTTGCCTTGGAGACATAGTTCATTAAAACTTGGTAGCTACTAACACTGAGTATGAATTCACTTGTTGAATTGTCTTCTAGAT